TGGAACTTGTTTCCCCCCCGGCATAGCATGACGAGTTCGATGTCCTTTTTTTTTAGCGGGGGGGGGGAGGAGGGCACTGTTTTCGTTTAGAGCCTTGTTAAATAAGCCCGGTGTCTTCGGCGGAGCATAATTCGGGCGAGCGGCGGCGATGGAATCAATCGGCGTGCAGAGCGAGAGCGGCGCCGACAGCTTGTTTTTCCTCACCAAGGACACTTCTTTCTTCAGCTCGTCAAAGTTCTTCTCCTTCTTATTCCTCTTGCCTCCAGTCTCGGCACCACACTGTTTGGTTTTTTTTTTAGGGGGGGGGGGGGGGTACAAAGAAAGAGAGATTACCACACATTCAGGTCAGTAGGCTATCGTCAGAAAATACGCCGGAGAAGCCACGTGCTTGTTGCCACATTGTGAGAACCCATTTACATTCACAGCCACGCGTTACGAGCTGTCACGTGCACAATGGACCTGCTTCCTTTCACTGAAAATGGTAAAGGAATGGGTGCAGGAAGTGTGTGTGTGTGTGCGTGTGTGTGTGTCATGAACAGTTGGACGGTGCATCATGGAAATCATCTGCTGCTGTCAGTCTCCTCTTAGCGGCACGTGTGCACGTCGGCGACGGAGGGCCGCGCGTGGCGCTCCGAGGGGACGGTGAAAAAGTAATCAAAAGGAGCCAAAGAGGCAGCGCAGAGCCGGCGGAGTGCCTGAAATGTGTCTGGCATAGCAATTCAACCCCCCCCCCCCACTGTGAGCTAGAATGATTACCAGCCTGTCCCGCCATAAAGCTAAATGGAATGGGCCCGATGGAGAGAGTAAAAGCAAAAGTACGTGATTAACCAAATAAACAGCAAGCTGGGAACAGAAACCAGTCACCCTGAGACGCTGCTGTGGGAAATCCAGCCCTGCAGACGGGTTCGGAAAGCTCAGTAGTTTTCCACGATGCATATCCACGCCGCATGGTGTTAGCGTGTGTAAGTCACAGCGGGAACACGGGCCGAGTCACGCTCATCCGCTCAGTCGCAACGGAAGCAAAAGCCGAATCAAACACGGCGTCCCTGTCGGCTGGTAAATGAAAGGAACTCACCCTTCTGCCCATGTTGGACGTCCGGTGTTCGGCAGGTTACAGTGTGAGAGACAGCGTTCAGCCCCCCCCCCGAGACCCCAACCAGGACCCGGACCCCACCCCGTCCGGGTTGAGACCTCCCGCCCCCCCCCACGTGTGGAAGACATTGGTGGCTTTTTTTAGGGGGTGGAGGGCCTGGCACCCCTACGTTCCCTCACTCCTTGCTCCCTCCTGTCTGGGTAACCCGAGCCACGCAACTCCCCTTTACTCCACTGTTGAGCTGGGCCCCTCTCTCCATCCAGCCCCCCCCCAAAACTCACTCTGTGCCTGCCCCCCCCCCGTCACGTGTAAGAGTAAAATCCTCGGTTCTGCAAGTGAACGTGGTTTCATCACTTTTTAATTGACACTCTGATGAGATGAACTTTCCGCTGGCTGATTTCAAAGGGACCCGCAGGCGCTGCAGCGCTGCCATTAGCTCAAAGTTCAACATGTTTAGAACACGAGGCAGGCCGTCGTCCAGGCTGCGCCGACGCAGCACGGGGATCGCGTGTCGGATGAAGCGGCGAATGCCGTGCTGCAAGTCGTGTTCTGTTCACCAATCCCGTATTCTGTGACATATGCATGAGCCGCCGCGTCTTCTCAAGGATCCTCACCGAAGGGCCGTTGGCGTCCCTCGAGTTTAGCATACGTCCTCGGTGTGAAAATTAAAGCGCCTGATTTGATTTAGTATTTTTGAAAAATACTAAATCAAAATGTCAATACACAAGAAGTAATTGAACAATGGTTTGAAAAGCCAGAGAGAGAGAAACAGTTACAGTTGGCTGATGTTCTTTGAATTGAATCTGTTTAACCAGAAAATACCACATTCCTTCACATTAATAAGTAATAAGATAATTCAGTACACTGAGCTCAGTGCAGCTCATCATGGCTAATCTGACTTTTACCAGCAGGAAATGAAATAATGAAATAATGGGTGAATGGGGTCATCCCTGCATCCCCAACATGGGAAACAGGTCTGTGCACAAGGACGCACCGATTTACTCCAATCTGAGTCATAGCTTCACAAAACATCTTTTGTGCTCATTAAAAAAAGAGGAAAACGCGTTCATCAGGAAACTCCCGGGGACGTCGACTCACACTCGCTTAAAAAAAAAACATCTTATTGACGATTTCCGACCGCCTGAGTTCACCTTTCTGCTTTAATTTGTACAGCTGCAGAGATGATTAAGATCGGTGTTTCTGATGGGGGGGGGGTTTGAGGCGTTTGCTGTTGCCAGGCAATAACGACAGGAATCTCCCCTTCAAAGCCACAAATGATTTGATTATTTTCGTTTACCTCTTTGTTGCCGGGCGAAAGAAACAAATGAGATCCGCTCTGCTGAGCAGCGAGCGTTAAGCTAAACGATTCTCCGCCTTCATGCTATAAGCTACACGCACCTTTTGATGCAGGGCCCAACTTTACTGACTCCACGCGGAGACGCGTGGTTCAGCACGTCAGCGGGTCACCAGGTAACGACGGCAGCGGGCCCGAATGCGGAGCCCGGCGCTTTGCGGAACAGTCGCGAAATGCTCGCTGAACCCACTCGGCCCATTAAGTCGGGAACAATGTGTCCGTTCCGAAAGTGCAACCCATTCCGTGCCACTCTTTAACGCGGACAAGGATGTCAATCGCCCGCGAGCACCTTTTTATTTTTTTTCTCCCGGTCCTCAGGACTTCTTTGCGCGGACGAGGCGACCGATGAGGCGACGCCGTTTTACTCCCCGGCCGCCGCCGCCGGTGAAGCGAAACGGAATTCCTCGTGAATTTAACAGGAAACCACCTGCGTCCAGACCAACTCTGCTATGAAGCTAATCCAGACATTTCATTCACGGGGGGGGAGGGGAGGTCTTCGTTCATAAGAGACATTCGAGAATTATTCACTTGATGCTCAAACTGAAAGAAAGTAGACGAACAGACATTTTGAACTGGGTTTACTTTGTCTTCTGCGAGACAACTTTTTATTTACGTTCTCCTTACAACACATTACACAGAGTCATCAACAGTTGTTAGTGCTCCGGAGTTACACAACGCATCAACGTAACGGTAAAAGAAACAAACAAACAAAGGGGGGGGGGGGGGGTGTTACTGTGCCACTAATACAGTTTGTAACACATGTAAAACACGCATTTTAAAGGCCTCCTAATGCTGCTGGTCTCGCGTCAGGTGTCCGTGTTGCTGCAGAGGAAGCAAAAAAACGTTCCAGCCGCCCCCCCCCCCCTCCGTGACCGGGGACGGCTAAACGGCGACTGGCGAGTCGTGTGGGTTTCTGCCACCTTCGCGGCGGGGGGGGGGGGGGACACGATGGTTTTATCAAATGTCACTTAAATAAACACACATGAAAACAAGCGACGGGAAGAGAGCGAGCTAGATTAAGGGTTTCTGTTCGGCGTCCTCGCGTTTCCCTCCTTTGCTGGGGGGGGGGGCAGAGGAGAGCATCGGCGTTCGAAACCAGCAGAAACAACCCAGTAGAGGGTGGGAGGAGGGCGTGGGGGGGGGGGGGGGGGGGGGGGCGTTTTGAAGGGCGACCGAGAGGGCGTTGGTCGATGGGCCGTCGGGAGGGAGGAGAGACGTCAGTCATCAAGTTTGAAGAGGAGGAGGGAGGGAGGGAGGGAGGGAGGGAGGACAGGAGAGAGGAGCAGAGCATCGAGCTGAGGCTCTCAGATAAGGAGAGGCTTAAGGAGGCCTTTTCTTCTGGGGGGGGTGTCGAGATAACGACAAGGAAGAGGAGGGGATAAAGGAAGAGGTGGAGGCAGAGAGGAAAGGAAACAAGGAGGAGCTGAATCCCCGAGATGAGAGAGGAGATGAAAGTGAACAAGGCAGCGTGGGGGGGGGGGGGGGGCGCTAAAGTAATTAGCCTCGGGTTGGAGAGGAGAAAACGTGCGAGCGGATTAACTGGACCTAAAATAAGAGAGACCTGGTGACCCCCCCCCCCCCCCCACCCCCACCTCCCCCCCCCTGTTTAGCAGAGAAATGTGCAGCTGTTACAGTAAGGCTGCAAAGCCAGAAATAGCCCCCTTTAGCCGGGGCAAGTGGCAACCTCCATTAGCTCAAATGTGAGAGGATTGAATCAACCCAACCTGGAGGGGGGGCGGGGGGGGGGTTAGAGGGGGCAGGAATCATATTTCTCCCTCACTATCGCTCTCCCCTCCGTCCCCCTTTTCTCTCTATGCGAAGTCCAGGGTGCAGCCACAGCTCCGTAAACATTAAGGTGTGGGGGGGGGCTGTGTGTGTCTGTTGGGGGGGGGGGGCTGTGTGTGTCTGTGGGGGGGGGGGGCTGTGTGTGTCTGTGGGGGGGGGGGGGCTGTGTGTCTCTGTGGGGTGGGGGGGTCTTTGGGGTTCCGCTTAAGGAAAGTTACGAGCGTTGTTAAGGTTTGAGCACTTTTACAGTTTGCCCAATGAGTCTGTTTCTCACAGAGAGAAGAGGTAATGGGGGACGAGGGGGGGGGGGGCGCATGAGGCTGGGCAGAATAGGAGGGAGCAGACTAGAGGAGTGGAGGCAGTCATGGAGGAGTCAGACCTTTATCTACAGGAGAGAGAGAGAGGAAAGGAAGGAAGGAAGGAAGGAGAGCAGAGAGGAGGGAAAACAGGACAGAGCCGTTAGCATCACGTCTGTAATCAACACGATATTCACAGTGAAAGAGACGAGATGGGGTGAGAGGGGGGTGAGAGGGGGGTGAGAGGGGGGTGTTTGGTGGGGGGGGGATCAGTGCGGAGGGAGAGTTTGACACGTTGCGTAGGAGAAAAAAGAAGCAAATTGGCTTGTCCCCGCAGCTCGGGCTCGGTGACGCGTTTCCTTCGGTGGGCGGGCGGGTTGTCGGGCGGCAGCGGGCGGGTAGACGGGCGGCAGCGGGGGGGGGGGGAACCGGCAGCGGGGGGGAAAACCCAGGGAGCCGCTTTTTGGGATTCTATGATCAAACCCTGCTGTCTTCAAATGGCGCCTGTCGCTCTACTCTGCGAACGTGAGCTGGTTGGCGAGGCGGGAGAGGAAGCCTGGCGGTTTGACCCTCCCTCTCCCTCCCTCGCCGCCGGGCCTCTCCTCCCCGTCCCCGCGGGACAGCTCCAGCTCGATGGTCATCAGCACCCGGCCCCCCTCCCCTCCAACCCCCTCCGTCCTCCCGGCTACGGTTCGTTGCTGCTGCTGCCGCTGTTGGGGCGGGGCCTCGGACGCCGCCGGGTGGGCGGGCCGAAGCAGCCGGCCGGCGAGGCCGGCGAGGCCGCCCCCGCCCCTCCACCAATCCTATTTCTTATCCTTGCGCGACTCCTGCTTCTTCTTTTCCGAGGAGGCCGCCTTCACCTTGGAGGGGTCGGCGGGAGGCGCAGGGCCCTGTGGGGGAGGGGGGGGGGGGGGGGGGGGGTTGGGGACGGGGGGGGGAGAACAGGGGAGGAGAGTCACTTCAGGAGGAAAGGAGCGTGGGGAGGGGGGGGAGGAAGGGTGAGATGGGGGGTTAGAGATGAGAGGGTGAGTGATGGAGTTAGCAGGCGCAGCGGTGTGAAGAGGACAGAAACAGAACACATTAAGGACGAGGAGGACACACGGAGACAGAGAGACGGATGGGGTGGGGTGAGGGGGGGCTGGGGGAGGAGCTAGAGAGACAGTCCTTTTAGGGGAGGGGGTAGCAAGTGAGGGGGGGAGGTGTCCAGAGCTGTAAGGGGGTGACAAAACAGGTAACCATGCGTTAGGATGGGACACAGTGTCTGACAGGCTCCGAACACCTGCGACAACTGAGTGCCAATCGATCAATAACACACACACACACACACACACACACACACACACACACACACACACACACACACACACACACACACACACACACACACACACACACACACACACACACATTTGACCGGCTTTGTGAACCAAATATTCCCGGTTTCCCCTTCTGGTCCTTAAATTAGCAATTGATATGTATGCATCTTGAAAAGCTGACAGTTTGGTCTGAAAGGAGCGGTTTAAGCTTCGCTTTGATCGCCGTTTAAGTTGCTGTATTTCGGCGTGAAGGGAGGAGTCATGTCAAGTAACGGAAAGCCTCTTTGCTGATTTAACGCGCCCGCTTAAATTTGAATAATTCAAATCGGGCCTTTTCATGTTTGGAAGCTCTTTACTTTCTAACCTCCGACGGTGTTTGTTTCCTTGTGGCGGCCTGAACGCACCAAGACGCCGCCGCGTCCTGTCGGGGGGCGTGGCGGGGGGCGGGGCCGAAACAGCTCATTCTGCATTCACCTCGTTTCAACCTGCACAGCCGGTGCATGCTGGGTAACATCTCTGAGAGGAAACACCTGCGCACTCATTACTCGTCCACCGATCACTCCGATGGGCTGTTTAATGAAATAATTTAAGTTCACAGTGGAATAATAATTTGTCGTGGAGCCCTTCGCTGTAGTCATGGCGATGAACCTCACCAGCCACATTGAGCCTCGGATCATCTTACCATTTCTTACATAATTCACCCATTCACTCCCACTCATTCTGTACAGAGTCCAAAAAAACTAAGAAGAAATCGATGACGGAGGTAAAAGCGAAGCTTCATTTGAGGCGCTACGAACCCGTCAGTTGATACGGCCACGGTAACGGTTAGCGTCACGGCAGCATTCCGGTGCATTGGCCTGCCAGTTAGCCAGTTGAAAGCACCATAAATGCCCCGTGTTACCCCGATGGCGCCTAATAAACCCCCCACCCACGTTGCACAACACTGCATTCTTTAAACGCTCCTCCGAAAGGTTGAAATCCGAGCGCTTGCAGAAATGCATCACGTTAGCCGGCGGCGGGAAGCCCACCAGAGGCCGCTTCCCCTCCGCTAATAACCCTAACCCCCCTCCCCCCCCGCTGATCGCGTTAGAAGATGCATCATCTTTAATCACGCGCCGCGCCAAAGTAGCGCGCGCTCTGCAGACGGCATCCGGGGGGGGGGGGGGGGCTGCAGAGCGGCCCATCCGGGGTCATTACCTCCCATCACACTTCCTCTCCCTCGTACGTCAGCGCATTGGTTTCGGGGCCGTCTTTGCTACAGAGGCTGCGCGCGCTTTAAAGGGGAGTGAGTGGCTGCGTCTCCCCCCCCCTCCCCCCCTCCTCCCCTGCATACTAAAGAGAGGGGCGGGTGGGCGAGGAGATGGAGAGGTGGATGAAGAGTGAGAGAGGCAGCGATTTTCTGTCCAGAACCCGGGACACCTGGGGAGGGAGAGAGACTGGGGGGGGGGGAGAGACTGGGGGGGGGGGATTACAGACAGAGAGAGATGCTTCTCACGGTCAGCGAGGAAGGGAAAGGAGGAGGAGGAGGGGGGAGGAGGAGGGGGGAGGATGCCACTGAGGAGAGGGAGGGAGATAAAAGGAATGTGAATGAGGGAGTGGAGTAAAGTGAAGTAAGGTGGGGAGGGGAGGAGGAGGGAGGCAATCGGGGGATGGAAAGAAGAATAGGTGGCCTGTGTGTGTGTGTGTGTGTGTGTGTGTGTGTGTGAGAGAGAGAGCTGTGATCGATACAGAGTGCACTCAATTATCATTCCGGTACAGTGTGTGTGTGTGTGTGTCTGCGGGGGTGAACTCCTCTCCCACTACTCCACCTAATGGGGAGCAGCGCACACACACACACACACACACACACACACACCACCCTTTGTCTCCTCCGTCTCCCTCCGTCTCCCGCTTTGGAGATCCGCAGCAAACCGAAGGCGGCGCGGCGGATCGGAGGAGTGTGTCGACTCAGCAGAGCCTCCTAATAAGGGCGATTTGATCAAACAAGCACTTATGAGCGCGCTGCGGATTCCCCCGAGGCCCCCGTGTGCGGCGCGGCTGCAGACTGCGAGGGAGGGGGGGGGGGGGGGGGGGGGTCGCCTCGCAGGGTAAGCAAACAGGGGAAAAAAACGGAAAGGAGATTTAAAAAAATAAATAAGGCACGTGTGAGCTCGGTGCGGAATGTTTGTAAATATCCGCGTCCTTTTGGAGGAGGGGGGGGGGGGATTATTCATTTATGCACCGTCACCCAAGCCCCCCCCCCCCCCCACCAGAGGGCCCGCTCGCACTGGCAACCCTCTGCTCTTCTGTTTGCCTGCATCTCCCTTCACAGATGAGAGAGAAAACGCCTTGAACCAAAATCCCTCGACTTCCTTTTTTTTTTTTTTTTGCAGTCGATAACAAAGCCCCCCCCCGAACTATCCAGCCCCCACATTACCACAGCAAGCAAACACGACTTGCCCTGCTGCCTTGTATTTACAACAGAATACAAGCCACCAAAATGTCTGATTAATCCACCACTCGGGGGGCTATCGCTCTCCCACGAGGAAGCGAGGTGGGAGGGGGGGGGGGGGGGGAGCATCCCAATTCCTTTGCTGGCAGCGGCGAAACCCCCCCCCCCTCCCTCACTCCCTTCCATCCCATTCAAGGCAGCTATAGCGCGGCTCGGCCATTTCACACTAGCTCTTGGCCCCCGTGGCTGTTTACTCGCGCCGCCGTTCGGGGGGGAGGGCCGCCAGGGAGAGAGCGATCAGAGGTGGCACGCCGCCCCCCCCCCGTCTCCCCCACCACCACCACGCGGCACAGGAATTCTATCAGCTTGAACACAGTTATTAGAGTTTGAACGGCTCGTGGTTCTGCTGTTGCCGGCTCTCAGGGGGAGTCGGGCCCCCAGGAGCCGGAATTACAAAGATTTTTTGGGGTGTTTGTCGGCGTCGGGTGATGGAGCGTGTGGGGGGGGGAGAGGATGGAGGAAAGACGAGGATGGGGGGGTTTCGGGGAGGAGCGGAGGGGAACTTGCCTGTCTCTGCTGTGATCCCTCCTTCTTTTTCTTGCCATGTTTGCTGGAGGGGACAGAAGAAAAGACAATGTCAGGATGTCGAATCTATCTCTCCCTCCAGTGGTCACGGGGCAGCATCGCCCGGCAGCCGTGACGGCATCAACTCCGTCTCCCCCCCCACCCTCCATACCGCTGCCCCCGGGGGCCAGATGCGTTAAGATCTGGTGAGATTGGATTGGCATCCCATCATCTTCATGATCTGGTGGATTATCCACTCTGGATCTTCCGCCTCACTACTTTTAATCATCTCGCTTTTGGACGCGAGCAGTACTGTTTTCTCTGATTAAATCTAAATGACGGATTCTTATCCGGCTCCTTTTTCCTTCCAATCCCCCCCCCCCCCCAAAAAAAAAAAAAACCCGAACTCCCGGCCGAATCCAAACTACGCCCGCTTGGCCACGCAGGTGTCGGTGCCAGGGATGGGCTCCGGCCTCCGCTCCAGTCCCCGGCACGAGAGCGACCGGCAGAGCGCCGCCGGCCACGGGCCGGGCACTGACCTGACGCTGAGGCTGAAGACGCGGCGCGCCACCAGGAACCTCATCAGGTAGTAGATGACCACGATGAGCACCAGCAGGCCCAGCACCACGCCGATGATGGCCCCCGTGATCACGCCGGCCTGGATGGGCACTGAGGGGGGAGGGGTGGGGGGGGGGCGAGAGGAGAGGAACGTCACGCGGAGGGAAGTCGATGAACGAAAAAAGAGACAAGGGCAGCAAAGGGTGAAGCGAATGAAAGTAAAGAATCCGAGTGAAAAGGAGACGGGTGAGGAGGCGAGAGGGGAGGAGAGGTAGAAGGTGAGAGCAAGGAGTCATGGAGGAGGAGGGAGGAGACGGGGGAGAGAACAATGGGGGAGAGAGGGAAGAGGAGGCGAGTAGGAGAAAGTAGTGAAAGCGAGGCAGCGATAGCGATCTCAAACAGAGAAAGAGATAAAAAAAAATTGTAATTGATTTCATTTAACGGGACTGGTGCGAGGAATTCTAAGCGACCTGCACGCGGCGCCCGCGTTGGACTGATGCACAGCGCAAATTGAGATTCATTTCAAAGTTTGCAGTGATTATAACAACAATTGAGAACAGTTTGGCTTCTGGTGAAGAAAATTACCCCCAAAATGCACCATATGGGCTCAGTGGAAAGCTAACGAGCAGATGTAAGACAACGCGGGAATTAGATCTTACATGCTGGGGAATTTGATTCTGGATGACTGTCAACCGCCTCCCCCGCCCCCCCCGCCCTCGCCGCCTCCCCCCCACACCCATCTCACCCTTCTCAAACACCAGCAGGCGGACGCTGGAGGGCCGGCCCACGATGTCCGGGGGGTTCTTGGCGTCGCAGGTGAAGGTCCCGTTGTCGGCGTAGTCCAGGTTCTTGATGAGGATGGAGCCGTCGCGGCGGCCCGGGTTCCCCACGAACTCCACGCGGTCCCTGAAGGGGCTCATGTTGTCCACGTAGGCCATACCGCCGGTGTAGTGGAAGATCTGCGACCGGACCAAAAGAGTCAGCGGGCGATTCTCTGTGGCACTACGAGCAAGAACTGTAACATTAGACCTAATTTTGATATCAGCAGCCGTAATTAAAAATCTCTCTATTTAGCGTATCGAGTGGCGGCTGGAGTTTTCGCCCATTTAGAATTTTCTCTCATACGAGAAATTGTTGTGTTAATGTGTACACCAGGTACAGACCTTCAGCTTTACACTCACACAGTTGTTGAAATAAAAAACAACAGCTCCTTCGGGCTGTTTGGGGAAAAATAAAACTTTACTCTCCCTCACACGACGCCTTGTTTCTCGTTTATAATGTTAAAAAAGGCACCAAAAGTGAGAAAAGGTTTCAAAGCGCGGGGGTACCTTGTGATGTAGGGGGGCCCAGGGCGCGGGGTTGGAAACCCTTTTCACAAGGGGG